AAGTCGGGGGAGTTCGTCAGGCCAAAATACATCACCAAAGGTTCGAACAACCCTCGGTTGGTCCGAAAGGCCGCCTTCCACTCGTCTCCTTCTTTAATCCGGACGTTATTAAAGCCCCAGCGAACGTCGAGTTTGGTGAAGTAACGGGCGCCCTTAAGCCTGTTGATAAGGTCATTAATCAACGGGGAGGGGTACCGGTTCTTAATCGTCATTGCGTTGAGGGCGCGGTAGTCCTGGACAAACCGAAGTCCTCCGTCCTTTTTCTTAACGAAGAAGACGGGGGAAGCCATCGGAGATTTCGAAGGGCGGATACGGCCTGTGGCAAGTCCCTCCTCGATGAACTCGTCAAGTTCGCGCTGTTCAAGGGGGAGATCGGATACACCTTGCAATTAGCGGGCTTCGCGTCGGGGACGAGTTCGATAGCGTGGTCCCAAGCCCTCCGCTCTGGTAACGTGTCGAAGGACTCCTTGTCAAAGACGTCTTGGAACTCCTTGGCCCAGTCCGGAATCTCCAGGGGGGGGGCCGAGTTACGGGCAAAGGCCTCTGCAAGGCGTTGGGACACGGTGCTCCCAGGCGAATCTCCTCGATTGGGCGAAAGGAGGTGTAGAAGATGCGGTCGCCGTCTTCAAGATGCTCGTCGTCGTCAAGGTCTGGTGAGCGCTCCGGAGGGTCGAAGGAGCTCCGAGTTCGTCGTCGGCATCGTCTGGGCCAGCGATATCGATAGCGCAAACGGTGGGGAAGGCGCCCGCAAGTAAGCGCGATTTAAGGAGTCGGAGGCGGCGAACCTCAGCGCTCGGTCCGTTCCTCGTCGCGGCAGGTGGAGCAGCTTCGGGGCAGCGGCTCATTTTCACCTCCTTTGTTTCCCAGTTGATCTCGGGGTTATGCTTTTTGAGCCAGGAGTACCCGAGTATCAAGTCCTGTTTCCGAGGTGGGTTACAGCCAGCTGAACGCGTTGGAGTGTCCGTTGTATCGTAGGACCAGGTCCGCGATTTGGCGAATAGACCCAGCATCATTGGGGGTGCCGTCGACATTGTAGACCGGTATGGGTACTGAGAGATTTCGGACTGGCACGTTGTTTCGGTTGACGTATTCTGTGTCGATAAAGTCCGAAGTGGCTCCGCAGTCGACCAGACCCGAGAGGGAGAGCTTGAGCGCGTTCGCAGTGGACTCAAGTTCAAGGGGGAGGTGCAGCGAGTTAACGCCAGGAGCGGCAGAGATGGTATAACTGCCAGGTAGCTTTTTCTCCCAGGCAAGTCGGCGTATCCGGACGGGGGGCTTCGGAGGGGGCAGGGGGTGCGTCTTTCGTTTCAGGCTCGTTGTAAGGCAAGGGAGTTGATTCATCATACAAACAAGTGAAACGATTTATGGACGCGAACGAGGGCACACCAGTCACTCGTCGCGGGGGACAAAATCCTCTGCCGGAGCCTCCGAATGCGCTTCTGCTAAGGCTGCGGTGTCGGACAACCGCGCAAGTAGCTCTCCTAGCATCTCATCGCCAAGTTGCTGGATCACCTCGTCGAGGATGTCCATATGGCGAACATCGGCGGGGAGCGGACAGTCCCGAGCCAAGTGATTGGGGTCGCCGCATCTGAAGCAGGCTCGACGAGGGGCGCCCGAGCCCTAGTACGATCCAACTCCATAGGGACGGGAGCCGGAGGTACCGGGACGGGGCGCGGGCCGCGGGTGGCGCAGGTGCGGCCACCGGGCGGATGGGGAACGGAGTTGCCGAACGAGTGATGGGGAAGGCGCCGCGCGGAGCTCCCGGCGGTCCGGGGTAGCCGTTCCCTTAATGAGCTTCGCTCGCACCAGGGCTTCATATTGTCGGAAAGCCCGAGTGCGCCAGCCTAGATAGTCACGGAGGTCTGGGGGGTCGTTCAAGAGGTGATGCCGTTGTTGATCAAGGGGTCAAGTCCGTGGCGGTACTTGGTTACCTTAACCAACGCGTCTTGAAGCCAGCGAGGTCCATCAAGTCCTCGAAGTCGTCGGTATATCCGTAGACATCCCGCGTTCCCATGTGATAACCCGCTTTCCAACTTAGCGAGCGCGAGGTCCTGTTCGTTCTCCTCGACGAACCGAAGGCGAAACTCGGAGAGGAACTGGCTCCACCGAGGGAAGGGGAAGGGGTTTTTGCTCCCATGACGCTCTGCCCATTGCTGAGCAGGTCCCTCCGCCATATAGGACATGGCGTAGCGGACGGCCTTTTCTTCGCTCGGCTCTCCGTTAACTACGAAGGCCTCCGGGGCAAGCCGAGCGTAGGTTTTGACCAGCGTATAGGAAGGGCGCGGCCGCGTTTGCGATCTCCGTTAAACGCAAACGGGGGGTTTGGTCGTAAGACCAGTTTTGAGGCGACAGTAATGTCACCAAATAACGCATCCGCGTCGGGGCATTCGGAGATGCCAGGCGGTTCGGGAGCTGCCGGAGGTGGTGCGGCAGCGGAAGCCTGGGAAGCAAGGTGGGTGAGGAGATTGGTGAGGTTGTCTAGTTTCGCCTCAAGTGCGTCCATGCGCGCGTCAGCGTCCGGAGCAGCTCCGGTAGACATAGCGGGCGTAAAGACGACAAGAGCAGAGGAGGAGGGGTCAAGTGGCAGGGGCGGTGACGAGGGGGGTACGGACTCGTACTCCGAGCCTGAGTCAGCACCAAACCTGGCAATCTTGACCGGTTAATCCCGTAGAGAGTTTCTTCTGCTGTAAGGGCAACCCTGGAGACTCCGACGAAAGCCTAGCAGGGGAGGATCCAAAGCGTGAATAAAAGCTACGGGAAATACACGGAGGGACCGACCTAGCAGGGGAGGATCCAAAGAGAAGAAACTCTAAGGGTCCGCCTGCTAGGGCGCCAACTATATACTGGTCGTCCGTAACTGCCGACGAGGCGCAGAAGGCCTGAGCGGCGTCGCAGGCTCTGTCCCAAGGTGATCGTTGGGAGGGTCTTGACGGATCGGTGATTGTGCGGGCGAAGGAGGCCGTGGGACGATGGTCGGGGTGGGTCGGAGCGTCCGAGGGGGCGCCGGTCGGATGCGCCTCGGATGCGTTCGGAGGGTCCGAAGGAGGCCGAAGCGGGGGTTCCCCTGACAGCGCAATGGAGCTTCCACATGAGGAGCGCGAGCCCAAACTGATAGTTGTCGAAGACGATTGTCGTGGGGTTTATATCGGATATGGTGATGGAATCCTCTCCGGCGCCGCAGGTTGTGGCCTCCGAGTCGTTCGGAGGGCACGGGCCAAAAAGGGTGGGGGTATCCCGTTATTAAGCGGAGGCCTAATGAATGCTAATAGAAATCCGGCGCAAAGTGACGGGTCCGGTATGCAGACGGAGGGTTGAGTTTGCACGGTACTGATCCAATAGCGAGGGAGAATGAAGTCGTATTGCGCGACCAAGGTGTGTCTATTCATCCGGAGCTCGGTCACCCCTAGGGAATGGCACGGGTATACCCACGGGTATCCGAGGGCCTGCCCGCACCCGTACCCGCACAGCCACAGTACTCATACCCGCGGGTACGGGTATGGATTTACCCATGGTTTGGGCAGGCAAGGAGGAAGAGACATCTTGGTTATTGTCCGGAAGGTGGGATAAAAATGCTGCGCGAGAGCAGAGTCGAACGCAGAGCATCTTGGACACCACAAGGGAGCAAGGCCAGCTGAGTCATCAAGCCACGGGTAAGGCCGCCGCTGACCCGTACCCGTACCCGCGCGGGTAAAACCCGCGTACCCGCGCGGGTATGGCCTACCCGTGCCATTGCCTAGTCACCCCTGTCTTCATTGCCGAAGTCGTCCTCGCAGCAACCGGACTCGAGTTGTGCCGTGGTCCGTGGACTGGTTGGGAAAAAGCGGCAGAGAAGAGAAAGTATGATCACAACATTGACGACAAGTTGGCATAGCGATAATCTAGCGGTTCGGGATTGAGAAGAGCACACCAAAGATAGACCAGTGCAGCACATACCAATGGGATACGCACACTTTAAAAATAGCCCAGCAAAGTCACCGAGGGATTGTCGTCAATTCAGTGAGAACGCTCCATCTGGTTCTTCGTTTTGCCATGAGGGTTGTGCGGGAAACGATAGGAACAATATATGCCCGTGGGTGCAGGCTGCTGCAGCAGCAGGCCGCACTTTGTCAGGGAGAACCACATCGTTGGTTTCACGCAAGAGGAAGAGCCCAAGACGACGGATTTGAAACAAGATATTTGACTCGGATAACGTCGACTGGGAAGAAGAGCGTGGAGTATTTGAACAAGACATAGAGATGAGCTGACGGCGGAGCATTAGGTGAGGGATATTGGTTGTGTAGGCTTAAGACCAGGTTAGTGGGCTTAAGCTTGCATATCAGAAAAGACAGAAACATAGACACACCGCCGGTAGAGCGGCCCTCCAGGTTCTTTCTCTTCTCCCTCGGTTGAGCGTTGCTGATTCAGAGGCGATTGAGCCTGAGGGTGTGGGAGAGAAGGCCGGAGAAGGCAAATGATTCTTCGACCATTGCGTGAGGAGGTTACTCGGAATATTGATTCGAGAAACTAACCAAAATACAAGCATTCCACTCTGAATCTATTGTTCTTCAGGGTAGGCCTGATGTGCGAGCTGTAAGCATCGTTGGTGGTTGCCACTGATTGGTTGATGGTCAGCAAAAGAAATGATACGGGTGCCAATTCCCGATCACACCGTGCTTTGCTGACTTCTACTCTGACCATGACGAGTCAACAACTCAGCCCACTTATCGCTACCTGCGGACATCTCTCAAACATGTTCCGGTTGTCCGTCTCCTAACAACTCCCATCGGGCATTACGCAGAGGGCAGGGAGTGACGCGTCATCATCGACTTCAGCCTCGATTTGAAAGCGACTATTATCCCCCACGCGGCCCGGACGACGCATTTCACATTACCTACGAGGAAGGTGGAAAGCGCGGGCGCCACCAGCGGCGCCGTCGACGCGTGTACTCGTGGTTAGTATTCTGACGTTTTGCTTATAAAAAGCCAGCTTACTGAGCCTACAGAGCCACCGATATCCTGACCATGACCATCACCAAGGACCCTGCTGCCCCTCTTGTCGCCGTTGTCGGCGCTACTGGGACCCAAGGCGGCAGCGTCGTCCTCGCCCTCACTGAATCCGAGCGACCATATCGAATCCGCGCATTCACCCGCAATGTCTCGAAACCCGCAGCGAAAGCATTGGCGGAGAAGGGCCTCGAGGTGGTCGCGGTGACGTTGTCGGTGGAGAATAGAGGAGCCGTATTCAAGGCGTTTGAAGGGGCGGACTATGCTTTCGTGTGTGCTGCTTTTTCTTCCTCGGATTCGTCCTTATGTGCTTGTAGCTTGTCACCAACTGGGCGGAACACGGAGACCCACCACGAGTGAGTCGTTACAGTCCTGGATTCATTGCCTCAACTCTCTCTCAAGGAAACCGTCGAAGGCAAGCTCATGATCGACGCTGCAAAAGCCGCCGGTGTCAAGGGCATCGTCTGGTCCGGGCTGCCCAGCATCGACGCTCTGTCTGGCAGCAAATACAAGAACGTGGGCCACTTCGAAAGCAAAGCACGCGTCTCCGACTACGGCCGCGCTTCTGGGGTCCCTTTTGTCGACATCCAGGCGGGCGGGTACGCGAGCAACATGCGCACCTTCATGCGGCCAGTCAAAGTCTCCGAGGACACTTGGGCCGTCAACGTTTCAACCTTCCCCTGCCCCCGACGACGCGGATGCCCATTATTGACGCTGAGCAAGACTACGGCTTGTTTGTCCGCAAGGCCCTGGAGCTACCCGTCTTTCCCGACAAGCAGACGTGGGCGACGTTTGGCGAGCTTATTGGCTTTGCAGACCAGACAAAGCAGCTTTCAGAGGGTGATCTTTTCGCAAGGTGGCTCTGTCTCGCTGGCTGATCCTTCCCAAGTAACTGGCAAGAACGTCGTCTTCAACCAGATACCATCTGCAGTCTTTGGCGAAGGAGTCAAGAGTGCTGGTACTCCGCCACATATTGCGCTGGCAATCGAAGAGGTCTTCACATCCGTCGGGGAGTTCGGATGTAAGATGGAATTTGTTGTTTTTTTCGCATCGTTTACTCTGGACAGACTTCTCGGAAGGCACTGTGGTCTCGCAGGAGGGGCTCGCTCGCCAACCGCAGACGTGGAAGCAGTACGTGGAGGCTCAAGATTGGAGCGATGTGCTCGTTTGAGTGTTCTGTGCAAATGCACTTATTAGCTACCGTCGGCTTTCCAGCTACACACAATAGATATAAGCTTCTCATGCAATACTTGATGTACCAGTAGAAATGAAAGCACAACTTGTCACCTTAATTCCGAGTCAGGGTTAGTCATTTGCGAAGCTCGGAAAAGCGACTAGACACCTTGCCACAACTGAACAGGGCAAAAAACTGAATATGTTTCTTGCCTAGGTTATTGTGTCTCTATAATCGTCATGTCCGCAGACCATTCTCTGCTTTATCTTGGACGTCGTCATACATCATACTTATATGAATTTTGGTAGTTGGATACCTGCAATCATGTGAGTACACGCTCCCCGATAGTACTCTCACCTATTTCTCAGTGCGCTGGCTTCGCCGGCGGCCGCTGCCCTCAATGCTCCCGCTTTCGCGACTTGACCTCTCTGGATTTGCCAGTGGTTAGTCCGACATTATTTTCTGCTGGAAGACATTCGCACTCACCACTCCGAGTCGCTAGAAAGACAGAGGTAAACCGTCGTCCTTGCATGTGTTATGGCTCTTGCTGCCCGCGTCGTTGATGCTGACTCGTTTCAGCACAATTAACAGTCGGGTTTGGGCTTGGAGAGCCTGCGTTGGCGACTCGGAATCCCGAGGCTCAGGCTGTCTCAGGCTTGCGTGAGGTGTGCCGACTTGTCGCTGGTCTTGACGATGCCAACGAACGGCAGAGTTAGTAATACTATAGACGTCCGACAAGCGACTTACTCGATGGTGGGTCTCAAAGGTGCTGTCGCCGCAAACAGACTCGTTGTCGCCAAGGTGCGTTTCCTGTTGTTTTGCTGCGTTTGACGAGATGATAAGCCGCGAGCAACGGCAGGAGTGAAAGGATACGCACAGACTTGATTCGTGACGGACTGGAGCCCATGAACGAGCTCTTCTGTTTTATGTACAGCCCTGCCGTGCCCGAGTTCCATCAACTTTTGGGGACAGAGTCAGTCGGACTTTCGAAAAGAGTGCTGAGCGTACCACCATGTTTATTGGGAGAGTCTGCATGATTTTGTTGGCACGGGCGGCGGATTGATTTTGTTGGCACGGGCGGCGGATTGAGGGTCGTTGGGTCGTAGTCTGGCCAGCGGGTGCGAGTTGGGAGGCCAGCAGACTTGAATAATGACATAGTGGTTGATGAGAGAACGTCGCAGCAAGGTGTTGTGTTGCCGCCTTCATTTGAAAGTGAGTGCCTGCCTCCCCGGGTTCTTGGACCTCCAGTTCGCGGCAATGCATCTTTCGTCTTCGCGAGGCGGAATGGAAAGGGAGTGTTTGTGAATCGCTTCAAAGGGGAGAGACGCGTGACGATGCTTAGATCAGCACACCGAGCTTGTCTTCCTCCTCCATCTTTCGAGTTCTTCACGTCGTCATCTAGTCCGAAGTAAGAGCCTGGGACGTTTCACTAGCGCATGACTGAACCGTTGCTCCTCAGGCTCCCGACTTCTTTGGAGGACTCGAAAAAAGGACTCGAAAAAATTGGCGAACTCGGCACCAGCCACACGGAGATGCACATATTATGCTCTACGGTGGAGTTGCAACACGACAACATGGATCGCCATAAGCTGTAGAGTGCTGTTTAACCCGGGGGAAGGGATTGCGTGATCGTGAAGACGAATCTGCTTTCGAGAACATATGGTCCATGGTTGTGCGTCTAGCAACTTCCACTGCTGTTGGCACCCCATACTGACCCGCGTCTAGCTGGAGGCTCTGCGGCCCGACCCGTCTTAGCGCGAACGGCGATAAAGAATACCACCAGCCTCGTGCTCCGTCTGGGCCATTGTGTCGGCTCGTCACCGCTCGTGAAGGGAAAGCGAAGGCACTGGCGGTCTGGGATATGAAGGCAACTGGTGGTTTGAGAGATGGCTCCAGCGCGCTGCTGACTGTTCTCATTCTTCCACTCCCACAACCACATCCGACTTGACGATGCTGAGGTCGGCTTCTGCTGCCCCCTCCCTCGAGTCCTTTCTTCGTCGTGAGTGGCTATTCCGTACTGTTGTCGTTTTTCCGACCACACTTTTAGTGGACAAATGCGTACCCTCACCCGCAAAATGCATATGACAACGTGTCAGGGAGGCTGTCTAAGGAAAACCCACAACTACCCACGGCCAACCCGCCTCGCGCGCTGTCGCCATCATTCTCCCGCTCCTTTCGCCAACGAAGTCCCACTGCCAACTTCACACATTCACAAGGATGCCCCTCCCCCGCCACAATCCCCTCTCGAGGTCATTGGCTTTTACCTCGTCCACCATCATCTTCCCAGAATCCCACGCCGACAAGAAAAATGGAGATTCGATCTATCAACGAGACTGGGGAGATGACCATCCAATATGTCGAGTTCCAGGACGAATTTGCTGAACGCGACATCGACATCGACTCGCTCGTTCCACGGACAGTGCTGGACGATGTTTTCGGTCTTGACTACTCATACGTCAATTACTCGCATGTCAACAAGAGGTGGCAACTATGGCGTCTGCCATGTTCTCACTCGTGTTGTAAAGAAGGGGGAGAAAGTCGGTGTTGTTTATGACCCCGAGGACCGGCAGATCTACACGCTAGTCGTTTTCATACCCGTAACAACAACGACAACTCGCTCCCATTCCTTCGCGTCTTCTCTCATCTGCCTACTTTTTGCCTTCGACTTTACCTAATTCCCCTCCAAAAAAACAAGAACCCTCGATAGACAGAAAGCCTCGTCCTACCCCCACAGTCTCGATATCTTTTTACTGTACTTGTAGGATATTTTTCAGACCGACTCGGACCTCTTTAGCGCTGGCAGTACATATATTGTAGCTAGAAGTACTGGATCGCGGTTGCATGAACCGAACCCGCGCTGGCTATACGATACAGAATATTATCTCGATGGATTCTGCTTGTTCGTTGACGCAGTTCGACGCGTTTTCCTTCCCTGAGTGACAAGTCCCGTGAGTGTGACTCCACGTTTCCCCTCACCGCCAACTACACAAGCAACACTGACTCGCCCTGGCCTACAACATGCCTCGAACTCTCCTAATAGTGCGGCTGTATATGATCGATACGTAAGCCTGGCGCTTGCTGCCTCAAGGCCGCGCAGAGTGGCCCCACAAGGCCTCCACAGCCTTGTCATGACTAATGGCTTCTACAGACTTGCTTCCTCCCGTCATGCCAGTCCGACCAGCATTGGACATCCTTCCCCGCGAGCTCTGGGAGACACTATTCGACCTCCTCTCAGAAGACCTGCTCTTGAAACTGGCCCGAGTGTGTCGGTTCTTCAATGCACGTTGCCTCGATAGGTTTCTTTATGGGTCGCTCAGCTATATAGGCACGGCAACGCGGGTCTCTATCGACTCCTGTGGCCTTCTTGCCCTCCCGCTCTGCGTTCTCTGGCAAGAGTTCCCCATCGAGGTCCTCATCTGCGAGGAGCTCGACGCCTCGGACTTGCCCAATCTGCTGTCATGTTTAGACCGCGTCATCCTCCGCTCGCCCAAACTGCACACCCTCTATCTTAACTTCAACACCGACCTACTCGCGGACTCTTCTCCTTATAACCCCCATAAGCTCATCCTGCCTTATGAAACCCGCGCGCTTGTCCTTCCCCGCCTCTGTCAAACACTTTCGCTCTTCTCCCATCGCAACAACAGCGACCATAAGCAGGATGCAGTCTTTGCGTTCACCGAACGAGCGATGTTCTCTTGCTCCGCGGGTGATTTGGCGGACTGGGAGCTCCACAAGTGGCGGTTTAATCATCACGATGATGCTCATCAGGCTCATCGTGGTTCGCGTCGTCGTGGGGCAAAAAAGGGCCAGCCCGAGGTCGAAGAGGGCAAAGAACCACCCTGGAACGCGGTCACGAGCACGCGTTTGTTTGACGGTCGGACGGAGGCGCTTCCGGTCCTCCGCAGTCTGCTTTCTGCCAACGCACGTCTCATCAAGTCATCGCATACCAAGGGTGGGGGCTGGAAGAGCAGCCTCGTGGTACTCAACCAAAGGAAGGATGAACCTCCCGATTACGATCCTGGGCGGTTTTTTGAGCTCTTCAATAACTTTGAGCTCTCCCGGAGCATGATACACATTGCGTCCGAAGAATGTCTCAAGGCTGTGATGAATCATGCCCGTATTCGCTGGGCCGAAACGCTGTCTCTCGATCCAAGTATTGGCCTTGGGGTGGGGCAATTGCGCCGCTTTCTCGCAAACCATCACCGCCTGAAGTGCATTCGAGTCAGACATGGTTACAGCAGGAGCCCCAAGCGCCAACAGCAGCCCCCGATCCTTGACGCGCCCCTCCGTCATCCTTCGCTAGAAAGGTTGAAGTTGCGGGGCATTCCGGCCTTCCCTGACATCCACTGCAGCTCGCTGATCAAAGGGCTTATCAATAGCCCAAACCTGGCTCTCGTCACCCTCTCCCTGTACAAGTCGGTCTCCAAAAAATGGATGGGCTCCCACACAGACAACATCATCAGCGCATTGAGCGGCATTGCGCGCCGACACCGGTGGCTCCCTTCCATCACACTCGAGCTCACCATTGATTGGTCATATGGGTTCTTCACCCGGATTTGTCGCTGGGCAGACGACCCCCGCGCGCTTGACATTGCTGCAAAGCTACACAGTGTAGAGAGAATGCGCGTGGAGGTGAGCTCCGTCGGGGCCGGTCGCAGGCTGTTGCGGTGGTGTAGCCTTCTGCCACGCCTCCAGTCCTTTGTGTTTAAGCTGGATGTGTACGAGCTCTGGGAAGCGCCTGAACACAAGCGAAGAGAGGCGAACGAGGCGTTCCGGGCCGAGGCAATGGCAGCCTTCCAGCCACGGGTGCTCACAATCTCGTACGAGACGAAGCGATTCTCGTTCTAGCTTGCCGCTCAGTTGGTGTCACTTGCTTTATCCGAAATTTCCCTCGTTTGGCTGTCTAGATATGAGAGGACTCGGACTACGGTACTTAGCGAAATTATTTCAAACTATCAGTGGAGGTTATCTTAGGATTTTCAAGTTACAGTACTTTTACATGACTGACCTTTTCTTTGCACAACGTGATTAAAGATTTTTCCAGGGAATGAGATTCCCGGGCCGGGTATCAGCCCAGTGTCTATCATCATTGCACCCGGGGCGCAACCCCTTTGGTGGAGGGTACACGAGAATGGTGGGAGTGGGACTCGCGCCAGTCCCACTCCCATCCAATCTGTGGGACCCGAACATCTCAGTGGGACTTGTAGATGATTGTGGTTGACATCAAATCAGCGATCAGACTTAGCCGGCGTCGCGCAGCGAGCCTCCGCGGCGAGCGGCAGCCCGCGGCAGCGTGGGGTCCGGGGCGAAGCCCTGGTCGGGGTCCGGGGTGGAAAACCCCGGCCGTCGCGGCCGGCGCCGCAATCTACTCATCGAAAGCCTCGAACTCCTTCAAAAAAACCCGAGAAATTAAGGAAAAAATTGTTATACCTCCGCGCAACGGGCCACGCGGCGAGCGAAGCCCCCGGCAGGGTGGGTCCAGGGCAACGCCCTGGTCGGGGTCCGCGGTGGACAACCCCGGTCAAATGCACTGTTTTGAAACAATCACTCGAGTCCCACCACATCTCACTTTGATGGGCTGAGTCCCACCAAACTCGTCTAGCCGACGTCAAGCTGCACCGGGAGTGGGACTGGCACGAGTCCCACTCCCACCATTCTCGTATATACTCCCTTTGGTGTCCTTTCCCTCTGCGTGACCAGTCCCGTGAGTGTGACTCCACGCATCTGACTCGACTCCTTGTCTCTCTACCGCGATGACGACTTCACTTGCTCAGGCGCACCTCTCTGTCCTGCGCACCGCGCTGCAACAACCATGCCCACCGTGGACGTCTGGCATCGTCAATGTCCGCCGTGAAGATTTGACGCTGTTCTATGGGGACGAACGGTGCGTCTTTCCTTCCCCCATTCGTCATTCATGTTTCCACTAGACCGGCCAAACTGAACTTCGCGGACGCAACGGAGGAGCAGCTGCAGGGCCTGGCTGGTGCATGTCAACCAGCAACGTTCGGGCTGGGGACGGAGGACGTGCTTGACGAGGGGTACCGCAAGGCGGGGAAGCTCGACTGCAGTGACTTTGCTGCGGCGCTCGATATCGGGAGCCTGGAGATTCTGGATGCGGTTGTGCCGGACTTGTGGGAGGGTGCAGCCATAAGAGCGGAGTTGTACAAGCTGAATGTCTATGGTGAGTCGAGGCCATCCAAGTAGCTGGGGTTAAACGGTCCAAGGCCCTGGCTCGTTTTTCAAATCACACAAGGACACACCCCGCAGCGGAAATATGGTGGGCTCGCTCGTTCTTGTCCTCCCCACGCAGCACCAAGGCGGGCAACTCAGCCTCTCCCACGGCCCGCATTCCTCCGCATTCGACTCTGCGACACTCCTTGCTGGTAAACACAGCTCAATCGCATACGTCGCTCTCTTCAGCGATGTTACCCATGCGGTGGAACCCGTCGTCTCCGGCTTCCGGGTCACGCTCACATACAATCTGTTTGTTTCCGGGTCGAAATCCTTGCCCCCAAGGCAGCCATCCGAGGCTGAAGTCGTCTGCCAGCGTGCATTGACAGCACTGCTTGCTGACGCTGCTTTCCTGCCTCGAGGCGGTCTCCTTGGTTTTGGGCTCGAGCACGAGTACCCCGTTCCACGCACTGTCTCGGATCCAAATACCCTTTCCCAAGTCCGTCGTGTGCTCAAAGGGGCCGATGCACGTATTGAGCGGGCGGCATCCCGCGCCGGGCTGAAGACAGAGCTTAAGCTGGCGTATACCACCAAAGGCGACGAGTACTACGACAGCGGCAAAGGCGTGCGGATTGCGCTGGACAGTGTTGTCGACCTCCGCGACATCGACTCTGCTGGGAGTGGGGAAATTGACGAAGTGATCAGGCGGGCAGGACAGGCGGTAGTGCGTACGACCGCAGGAGGGAAGCAGGCGTGGACAAAGCTGTACGAGGAGGAGCAGCTGGTGTCGGTGTGTTGGGTCACGGAGCCAGAAGAGGAGAAGAATAGGGCCGAGTCTGCATATATTGCCATGGGGAACGAGCCAGTGCTGGAGTATGCCTATGGGCGGGCAGTGCTTTTGGTAGAGATACCACGTGTGGAAGGGCGAGTGTAGATTAAATGAGGAGACCGAGTTATATCAATAATTGCGTTATAATCGTGTCATATGAGATGGATTTTTATCTCTCTCTGAACAGTTCTTTAAGTCGGAGAAATGACAGTGGAATTTTGTCCTACTTAGTCTCAGGCTAGCACTTGGAAGAAAGTGCTTAATGCCCATTGCGACATACTTGATATAGAATTATGTGCTTGAAGAGATTTTTAGTCTGCGCAGTAGCATCGGCCAAGCCTACAGGATACAGACACTAACTTATGAGCACATCGCCCCAATCTTGAGCCTCCACATATTGCTTCTGGAAACTGGGTGGTCTAGCCCAGAAACACTGAGGAACACACAGAAACACAACAGAATCCTGCTATATTCTGGAACAACAATGGAGGACAGAGGTGAGTGACTGAAGAGGCAGTGCTAATGTGACGGAGGAATGTAGGTAAGGCTCCCAGGCTTACACCCTCCCCCACTTAGAACAAGACCCAATCCATGAGGAGAGATAGTACCAAAAAGGGAGAAGAACCAACAAGTTGCAAGACCGAGAAGTCCGCCCTGAGCAGACGACAGGATATAGGGCCGATACAGGGAACCCCCCTGTAAGAACCGTACACCGAGCGGCATAGTCCAGAACGCCCCAATGGAAACATGCGAGTAGACCCGAATGAAGAAGGCGATTAAAGTGGGAATAAGATAAGGAAATCAGGCTGAAATCTTGCTAGTCATCACGAGTTGCGAGGTCGTCATCGGAATTCGAGTCATCATCGTCATTGGAGTCGAAAACATTGTCGATAGGGAAACGAGGCCTGATACCAGCCACACGACGAGATGCTCCCGGATAGATGCCCGGTGTTACCAAACAGCGCTCCCATTCACTATCGGAGTCCACATCCAAACCACTCCGTATCACAGCAGCTGCAACGGGGACACGGGCAACATAAGCCGGAATACCAAGTGCCGAGTTCCCCTTGCATTCACATTTGCGATGTGGAATCCAATCCTTGTCGGTAGGCGTCAACGGCAGTTGAAGCACCCGCCCACGGGCCACAGCGCTGATACGATCACGGTCGGCTTGGGTGAGCGGTGGGACAGATAACGAGAGAGTAGCCGGAGCAGGAGCAGAGGGAGCGGTGGAACGGGCAGGGACAGAAAAGGGAGGAGCTGCGCGGAGTCAAATCGAGCCATTGAGGATGGCCGCATCCCAGAGGCCAGTCATGAGGCTGACGAGCGCGTTGTAGCGAATGGAATGGAGGTTGAAGCCTGGTGAAATCTTGGTATTCGTGCAAAGAATCGGGTGCGAGAAGGCAAGGACATGATATTTGACGACAGTGTCGGAGAGCTTCCACTCGGGGCCAGCTGCGTTCAAAACCCGGTTGGCACGCTCGAAGCATTCGATAAAACCTTTGAATGTATCCTCCCCCTGCTTGATGCTATAGACTTCAAGCATCGCATCCATCCGCCAAGTTGGTGCCACAAACTTGTCGCGCAAGGCATTCGTGAAGTCGTCCCAAGACTTCAGACGCTGCAAGTCTTCGCGGTTGGTGTCCCACCATTCCGCAAGCGATTCCTCCTCCAACTGTTTGCCAGCCAGCGTGATCAGCGTAGCCGCTGTGAGCTTGAGATCGGGGTTCCAGACAGCCCATGTGGCGTGTTCGTCTTGGCAGCGGCCAACCCAGCTGCGAACCGAGAGTGGAGTCGGCTTCTCCGTGAACGCGGGGAACGTGAGTTTCGTCATTCGTGGCACACGTGTCGATGATTTGGGCAGGGCGGGGACGGCGGTAGGGAAGAGATGTGGGGGAAGACGGTGGTGGGGACCAAAATCGGTAGACGGCGAGGGCAAGAGAGGCTCGGTAGGCGAGCCAGAGCGCGCGCGAGACGGCGAGCAAGACGGCGAGCAAGACGGCGACGGCGAGCGAGAGAGCCGGGGCGAGCGCGGTGAGTGAGACGCGTCAGCCGAGCGAGAGCGGGCCAGAGATGGCGAACGCAGGGCGGAGACCTCGTCAAGTGGTGAGGTATCAGGGATCGGCACTTCTGCCACGTCACTCAGTGGGCCGGAGCGGTGACGCTGTCGTTGGGCAGTGGGACGTGACGACGAGGCAGGCACCGACCCAGCGGTCGATCTTCGCGGGTTGGGGGCCAGCGGGGGCAAGCGGGGGGCGACCGGGGCTCAGCTAGAGCAGCGTTGAGGCGAGGGAGGCGAGAGGAAGAGCGGGAAGGCCGCTACGTGGCAAGAGGGAGGTGGGAACACGTGTGACAGGACGTGGGAATCCGCCCGCGAGGCTTCGCGCGCAATCGCCGCGACGACGCGTCGCTTAACTCGCCAAGCGCGGGATCGGCCGAAGAAGCTTGGCGAGGCCGTCGGGAGACCGGGAAAGCCGCCGGGTGTGTCGGGGGAGGTGCAGGAAGGCCGGGGAGGCGCCGAATGGACCAGGAAAGCTCGCAGGGGACGTAGTTTTTCGACTTTAAGCCAAGGAAACAGGTAGTGGTTGTGAAAAAAGTGGAAACTGGGTGGTCTAGCCCAGAAACACTGAGGAACACACAGAAACACAACAGAATCCTGCTATATTCTGGAACAACAATGGAGGACAGAGGTGAGTGACTGAAGAGGCAGTGCTAATGTGACGGAGGAATGTAGGTAAGGCTCCCAGGCTTACAGCTTCCACATACGCGGGTGGTGAGCGAGCCCCTGCTGGAAGAGCCCAGTGCCTTCTGAAAAGTCTATCGAGCAAGAAGTGAGTATTCATCAAAGCGGAAAGGAAGGAGGATCTTACGTCCAAGCTCCCCAACAGATGTGAAGACCTCTTCAATGGCCAGCGCAATATGTGGCGGAGTACCAGCGCTCTGGACCGCGGACAGTATCTGGTTGAAGACAACATTCTTGCCAGTCGCTGGAGAATGATCAGCCATCGAGACAGAACCACCTGGCGAAAACATCACCCTCTGGAAGCTGTCTCGTCTGGTCTTCAAAGCTAATAAGCTCGCCAAACGTCGCCCATGTCTGCTTGTCGGGAAAGACGGGGAGCTAGCTCCAGTGCCTTGCGGGGTCAGCACAAGGTACAACGAGAACAGCTGACGCACCACAAGCGAACCCAGACTCTCCCAAGCCCGCCAAACTCCACCGCCCAACGTCCTAGCCTTGGTGCCAAACGCCTTCCGCAGCCGTCAGCTTGCTGTCAAACGTGGTCAGCACGATGCAGAACGGCAGGTAGGTAGGACACACCACCCTCCGTCATTGCCCAATGCCAAGCTAGACGGCAATGCGCCAATGGGCAAGAACGGCAGCCCTGTGTGACGCACTTCTGCATTACGCGGCTCGGCAGCACCACCATGCATAGCGGGGCGAAGAGCAAAGGCAGGCGGCCGTTCAGCTGCAAAACCAAGTCAGTTCGACACAACACAACGCTCAACACAACTCACATTGGCATTCGGCACGGTCTCCGCGACACTGCTTGCCGGCAAGAACAGTGCAATTGCAGACGTTGCTGGGGCATTCGGCGCTGACAGTGGACACGACTAGCCTGTAAACGACAGTGAGTAAGACCAGTAAACAGGAGAACCCGTCAGCACGCACGCCGACTCAACGCCTCAGCGCAAGACAGGCCACGCAGGCTGCGACAGCAACGGCGGCGAGCGCGCAAGGTGAAGTGTGAGTAAGCAGCGACCGGCCGGGCGGGCCACCCGGCGGCACGTGTCGCTTATCCAACTCTCCCACCTCCACCTCCGTTCGCTTCCCCGCCCCGCCCGCTCGCTGCCCTGGGCCACATGACTGTCTCCCGCTTCGAAACGCGCCGACTTTGCTGCCGCAAACGGCCCCGCAACCGGCCGCGCTCGCTTGCCGGGCCCGGGCTACTGCTCGTGGCGGCTCAAGAGTCAACGGCAAGGCACCGAAATCTGTCTAGGACTCTACAGGGGGCTAGAATGCTGACTGACGATGTTCCCCGTCATCGTCGCCTCTCAAAGTTGCCAAATCGACACTGTGCACAACGAGTGTGTCAGCGCTGATGCCGAGAACGAGGAGAACACGCAGCGTTTTGGAATTGCGAGCGTAGAAATGCTGAAAACAGAGGTTAGCATGCATATGGAGGGGAGGAGAGTGTACGTTTGTCCGCCTATAGCGCTTCTCTTGCTAACTGGTGCTGTAGACGTTGTCGAGCGTGATGGCGCTGTGTACGGTCAGCAGGGGAGAATGGTGAGATTCTATATCTCACCCACTCCGTTTGCTGAATAGTGGTCCAGTTTTAACGCCTGGCTCAACAGCCGAGCAGGACTTGAAGACCATCCAGTCAACAACGATCAGGATTCAGGAGGGAAAATGTATGGGGAAGGGACGCACATGAACGAATGGGGTGGTGGATGAGGAAGCACAAACAAGCGGGCCCGGTTGGCTAGTAAGTACAAGTCAAGGGCTAAAACGAGTACTAACTTAGCCTGAAGGTCGGCGAATGATATCGGAGGCGATCCGGGACACGAAGACCTACTACAAAGTAAGCAGACGTGCTCGAATGAACTGGCTGGACCTAACTCGTCTTCTAGCTTGGGTTTGATGAAGGGACCGGGGACGATGCCGATGACGGTCGTATGGGGGAGAACCAACGCGGGAACGGTGCTGTAACAAGGTAAGCGTTCAACAGAACGCCGGCAAGCAAGTGAAGCTGACCTTGGAGCAAGAGCGCAGAAGGCGCGTGTCGAGCTTGAGCACTGTCGGCCAGTAAGTCAAACGCCAAAAACGACTACGACGTTACCTTGAAGGTTTCCCGTTTACGAATGCCATCGAATTCGAGTGGAGGACGAAGGCCGATGCAAGGTAAGCAAACACGTTCTGGATGAACAGATTAGACTTACCTTCTCTATCCTGGGGTCGGCAAATGACCAGGTGACAATCGTGACGGTGATGACGGTTGTATCAATGAGAAGCCTCACTGTGCTATAACGAGGTAAGCATCCAACACGACAGCGAGGATGTGAAGCTCACCTGTGAGCAAGAGCACGGAAGGCTCGAGCTTGGA